ATAATTATATACAAGATCATCAGTATCATTAAATGTCAAATGTGAAAAAATAAATGTCAAAATTTTTCACATAGAATTTTTAAAACATTTCCTTGAAATTTTCCTTTGGGGCGCGAGTTTTGACACACCTCTATATCGTCATTCAAGCCGTATAAAAACCTATCAAAATGTCAGAAGCTGTCAAATGTCAAAAACAGACGGAGGTCATATCGTGTTCTTGATTCACATTTTCCCCACCAGCAAATAATAAAATAATGGACTTTATGTTTGATTACGTGGTAGTCAGTTCATACATAAAGAGATTTAAGTTGTTTCCATTGATTAGATGAGAGTAGGTGAACACGCAATTTTACTATTACAATGAGTAAAATTAAAAAAATAACAAAAATCAAGTTAAAACAATTATTGCCACAATTTCAATTCAGTGGTTTATGAAATTAGAAAAGTAATCAGTTTATTTGACATTATAGATTTTAGTTATTATTTGAACTATTATTTTAAATAAAAAAGGACAATGCATTCACAAAATGCTTTGTTACAGTGACGGACACGGAATTTTGGACATCAAATTTATGTCAGTTCAAAAAATGTCAATGTAAGCCACGCTTTATTGTCATTGGAACTTCGAAAGTTTTAGTTGAAATTTATTTTTGGCGTCGATTTTTCGAAACAATAATGCCAGCAATACGTGTCTTTATATAAGTTTAATAAATTATTTTGATTTGTTGTCATTTTTTCTCTGCAACAAAAACCGAAAGTGAGGTTAGTTGCCTAAGGCCCGTTTACATTTTTATGTCAGTTGAATGACAAATCGTCCAAAATTCCGTGTCCGCCAGTGTATTACCATTGAACAATTTGTAGAATTGTAAAAATATTTATTTTTATTCCACTTTTATTCAGGTTCTCCCAGCTAAGATTCAACGGTCACTTAAAAGCTTAACTTTTACAGTTCTTAATAAACAGTAGCTAAATTAAAGGTAGCTTTTATTACAAATAGATAAATAATTCATGCCTGAAAAGGGTGGAAAATTTGGGTGACTGCAATTGTTTTAAAGGCAAGAGAAAATAACTGTTAATATCTAAATATTAATCAGAAAATGGATAAATTACCAATAATTAAATGAACAATGAACAGATATAATTTGTCATTCACAATAGAAACAATTACGTTTATTAATACACCGTTTCTTATGATTACAGTTTGTTAAAATCGCTCGTCTAGCTTGTCAAACCAAACACAGCATTATAACTATTAAAATAACAAGAGTTTTATAGACAGTTTAAAATCGAGGTTAAAATTTTTTCCAACACTAATATTGATTAGAAATTTTACTAAATTCAGAAATTATTATAAAAAAGTATTTCAAAATAATGTCAAAATTGCCAAAATTCCAAGATAAGAGTATGTTATAAACTTATAAAATACGTTGCTATTGACGACATATTTTATAGATGAAGCGTATGTTAACGGCAACATAAGACGTTAACTTAAATGCACCATGGAATCAGTATAAAATATTAGTGTTGGAAAATAGCTATAACACTAACGTTTATACTGTTTCTACGGTGCATTTAAGCTTACTTGTTATGTTGTCGTTAAAATACGTTTTAAATACGTCAATAATATCCTATGAGTCTATAAAATACGCTGATGTATATTTTTTGTCAATTTTGACATTATTTTGACATACATATCTTTATAATAATTTCTGAATTTTGTAAAACTTCTGATTCAATATTAGTGTTAGTGTTAGTGGTAGTGTTAGTATTAGTGTTAGTGTTAATCTTGAAGACAACACAAGTTTTATAGATTAAAAATCTCAGTCTATTAAATTCTTGCTCTCTTCGGTCGCTCGAATTTAAACTACGACCTAAAAATCGATTTTTAAACTGTCTATAAAACTCTAGTTGTCTTAATATCTAAAATGGGACAATAAAAATTGAAATATTTTGAAAATCAAAAGTAAGTGAGCAATTTAAATGGTAGATTAACGTTTTAGACCTTCAAAGTAACTAAGATTAGTTTTTTTTAATTAAATAATCAATCCTTTATTGTATAGTGTTATCAGCAAAGATACATCTATAAAGATTCGAGAGATACACTTGAGTGCAAAAAAACGCAAATTGTCAAAAACAAAATTGTCACATTTTTCACAGTTTTACATAGTGTGAAAAAGGTTGTTCCCAAAAAGTTTTAGAAAACTGTCAAAAGAAATGTTGTATTGGGTGGTCTTGCTAGTGCAGTGTCATAGTCAGTGCAAACGAAATGGAAAATAAAATAAATAAAACTTGATAGATGCCTGACAATTATGAAATTATGAATTGTGACAAAGACAATGTCAAAAAACTGGTATTTATTAACAAGCCAAATTACAGTATAAAAAATCAATTTGCGTTTTTTTTGCACTCAAGAGTACTTTGGATAAAAATCCGTTATAAAATACGAATAATCAGTCTGACAGAAGACGCGGTGTCATAAATTTTTGGTTCACAACATTTCGAGTTGTTTAAGTTAAGAAAACGGGAAAATGGGTTCACGTGGCAAAGCACAATGGCATACACCCATAAACGTTATAAAAAATAAACAGGAGGTTTGGACTGTTCTTGAAAATACAGGTTGGGTGAGTGAAACGTCAAAAATGTTTGTAAATGAGTAATTCAAGTAGTTTTTCATGAAATTCCTACATTATATTTTAACCGATGTTTATCTCGTGCTTAAATTAAATATTTAACAGCTTGGAAAATTATGATTGCATTTAGAAATTAGCATAAAGATTGTAGATGAGATAACATACAAACCTCAAACGTATTTTTCTCCTAAAAATTAAATATTGAATAAAGAAAGTCAAATATTTTGGTTGGTACGTGGTCACAAATCATTACAATCAAAAGCAAATTTAATTAAATCAAAACAAATGGAAGTTGGTTCGAGTTATCCACCTTGGAAGTATTTCGGTCGTTCATCATGATTTATTGTGGAAAACAAGAGAAACTTTAATAATGGCTGGTGGAGTATCGATGAGAATATGAAGAGAAGGGGCTTATTATGTTTGTACAATGTCACCGAAGTGGAAGTAAATCAAGAAAGTTTAAGTTCATTTTTAAGATGTTAGAGAGATGCAGCAAATGCGGAAAGTTTTAAAAAAAGACAACTTCATTTCCCTTGGAATTTTTCAGAAACCGGAAAAAATCGACACTGCAAAAACGATCACGTTTTTCGATAACCCTATGAAAAGGCAGCATCGGAGCGCCGAATACGACCTGTTTTTCGCATATACTAAAGTGTTTCCACTTTGGGATCCAAGAAAACCCAAGGACAATTGTCAATATCTGCGCGACATCAGAGAAAACATTTATCAGCAGGTAAAATATTCAAATTAAAAAAGTATGAATTTATCTCTTAGGGAAAAGTCGACTTTTATAAAAAGCTATTTATACTCGCTATCTTCCCCTTAAGGTTGCGACAAGGTGGTGATCAATACTTGTTATTTATGTATTATTTGGCTTTACGTGCAGAGAAGCGGCGCAACAGATACACACTTAAATTACCGACGAGTCTTGCAACATTTCAATTTTAAATTAATTTACATTTCATTAAAATTAACTGCTCAATTCGAACACCTCGTCGTAAAAAAATGGTTTAAACAAGACATAAAACTACAACCACAAAAATTACAATAATTTTCTCCTTGTTTGTCTAGAGAAAATTACCAGTCGCTTGTATTACTAGAGCTCTCTGAGTAATAAATTCTAAGCCATGGACTGTATTTTGAATTTTCGTTCTAATTAAACAGTATTTTACTAAAATTTCAAGAAACTAGCAAATGTTATAAAAATTTGCCGCTTTCATGAAATAGAAATCATTACTAAGTGTATAGTTTCTTGACGTGACGCTGCCAAATATCAAATCTTCAATTGTACCAAACCTTTTATCTATTTGCGTGTTACCAACTAAAGTTGAAATGACGTTTAAGCGAATAATAATCAAACAACTTATTATTAGTTGGCAATTACGAGTATATGAAAACAAGTAATAACATACAATAATAATTATCTAGGTCACCAGGTTTAATTCTAAACGAGCCCCTCATAATTTCTAGAAAACATTTTGGAATCTGATAGGACTGATAGGACACATTGCTAGTTGAAATCATAATTAAAACACAAATTAATAAGTTATCCATTAAGCGGTTGAATTTTTTTTTTAAGATAAAGTGACTAGAAAATTTCAAAGTTTGTGCATAGGTCAATAACCTACTAAAGATAACGTAAAAAGTTTAGAAAAGTGGGTGATCAACGTAAAAAACATACAAGTTTGGTAAAACGACTTTTCAAATGTACTATTTTTTTGGATTTTATAAATTAATACAGAGTGGTTATAAATGATTTTCATCTAGCCAGCTTTGGAATTTTTTTGCATGTAACTTTATTTGTGCCGCTCTACTTTTTGAAAGCTTTAATTCTGTCATTAGTGTCACTTATTAATTAATAATAAATTGTTGTTAATTAAATTTCTATTGTTTCAACTAATTTCCAATAATAATTGATAATAATGTATACTTTGAAAGAAAACAAGTTTATAATTGAAGTCTATTTTCGAAGTGGACGCTTAGTAAACGGCGATTTTTTAATTTTGAGTTACAACAAGTAGGTACCCCTATTTTCGTAAAGCGGCATTTTTTATTTTACATGGAAAATTCACAGCTGGCTAGATGAAAATCATTTGTAACCACTCTGTACAATTTGTTTGCCAACAACAAGTATACAGGATGCGCCAGAACTCGCACCCCAGAGAAAAATGCCATATAAGGTAAGATACCAGGAACATGGAAAAAATATTAAAAAAATTTTATCTATAAAAATTTCGAAGTTATGAGTGTTTAAAGTTTGCACTTTGACTCTATTTATTTCTGTTGGAAAAATAATTTTCTAAGTTTCTTTGCTATAGGCTATTAAAAGAGGAAACAAGGAAGCTGTATCCCAAATTGTAACTATGTTCAATGTTATTTGTGGCTTTTATTGGCAAAATTTTTGTCCCTTTACAAAATACAACATATACAAGATCATCAGTATCATTAAATAGATATAAAAAAGTCAAATGTCAAAAAACAAATGTCAAATTTTTTTGACAGAACATTTATGTAAAATTATACAAAAAACTCCCTATTGGCAATATTTTGATACGCTACTTATTCTTTAATTTATAGTACTATTGGTTCTATTTAAATAGTTTTGGTAAGGGCTTTGTTTGTGTTGTTTTTCGTTGATACTTTCGAGTAATTAAGAATGATCCTTTGGGTTAGCATAGCTGAATTGTATGTTTAAATTGTAGAGCTGTAATAACTTATTATTAATAATAATAATAATATAATTAATAATAATAATAATAATAATTTAAGTATCCGGAGAGGTGGGATACGACCGTATTTGTACGTTGCATTTTCGATTGCAGCAACAGATTCCCGGAACTATTTCTGGAAGGGTGAACTTTACTTGAAATCCATTGCTATGGTTTCCGTAACATTTGCCATTCATCTGACAATTATCAATTAAGTGTTTGTTTCACTGTCAAAGTATAAATGTCGTGCCTGCACGTGCAATTACTGGACTCATATCATTAGTTGATAGCAACACTATCCCTAATGATCAGCCTCCTTGGCCACGTGGAAAATGGTTAATGCCCAAATTTCATTACTTTTAAGACGTTACAATAGTTCTTTAATCAAAGTTGAACAGTTTTTTGTTATCAGTCGTTTGCTTCTCTTAGATAAAATGAATAAAAAATTTCTGTTTTCTTTTGTTTTACTGAGAAACGAGAAACTTCAAATGAATTAAAAACAAGCAAAAAAATTTCATATTTCGTATTTTGCTGTTGTGCTTCTGGAATTGTACTTATTTATTAGTTTTCTAAAACAGAAGGATTTATAAGCAAAGGACAACAATATACTCTAAAGACATGTTCTTATTATTATAGTCCTTAAAATATAACTTGATTAATGCCCCGCCCTGCTTACATAGTTACCAATAAAAACTGTAATCAAGCGGAGCGTAAGTTACACTGTTCCATTTTTAAAATGTCACGTTGAAATTTGGTTGAAATTAAAGTTTAAACCTAAATTCGGTATTTTTTACGCAAATCAAAGTAAGTACTGCGTAACAGAACTCTATGTAAAACGTGTCTCAAAATTTATTGTAACTGAATTTGTTACGTTACATGAAACCACGGAAAAATTGTCCTCTGTTATTTTTGCTCTGATGCGACAAGTCTGCTATACTAGTTTTCATATTAATTTGCATCGAAGTAGTCGTTGAAAGGGATCATTTTAATGTGGCAATTATGCAAAAATTCAAACAATCCTAACCTCAAATTTCCCTACATATTATTTTTTCAAATAAATGTGTGCCCCAGGTAGCAAAAAATAATTAAAATTAACAACGCAATTAAGATAGGGTAGCAAACATAACAATTTTGTCATTATTGATGTGATTAAATTTGTTCTGAATGACATATTAATGACACTTTTTGTGTAAATCTGCCTTTAAATTAAAGATTTATTTAGACTACTACAACCTACTTGATGCACATTAATATGAAAAAGAGTATAGTTGCTAACAATTCAAAGTGGGCGGAGCACTCATCTTCTTACACTTTGTGAACATTAGAATTTTTTTCTACTCACACATCTAATTTTTAATTTAAGTAATTTTTTGTGGTGGTCGTAGAAAAATTATAGTATGTAACACTTCTCTAAATATTCGTTTTATTAAACATAAAAGTCATGTCTAAAATGGCGTTTATAGCACTAGTTACATAATATACTATTACGATTGATTTGTAAGACAAAATAAAATAGAAAAATACCTATAACGGTACCAAGAATTATTTTTAAATTAGATTAAATCTACAGACCCCCTGAAAGCTGGCGTATACCTATTATTTATAAAATAATTTTATTTTGAAACAGTTAAAAAAATATTAAATAAATAATGATTTGTTCTTTCGTCAATGTCAGCATTACCTTATGCATAATTTTCTTCAAGAAATGGTTTGTTAAATTTTTCATTAAAAAAATTACATTTTCATTTAACTTGACTTTTGTCAATGCAAGATAAATGGCGACTTAATTCGAATTAGTTTAATAATTGTGAACTAAATTTTCATTTCGCTTTCTGTAAACCGGTTCCTAAAGGAATTTATCTTGAAACTACGTCAAGTTTGCAATCCAATAATTTACGATCCTGCCTGCTTGCGGTTAGAAGCGTCGGCATCCACTGCTGGTTTATTGAAGCGTCATTTTCACTTTGTTCGACTGTATATACATTTATTTCATTGTTTTCAGCCGCAAATTTAGACTTGAAGAGTTTCTTGATCATTGTAGTGTTTCTTTAAAAGTAAATAGATACCACGATAATATTCCCGCTTTAAATAAATTAATAGATATTTTTTATTGAATTGAATAAAATGTGAAAATCTTAATTATTAAAATTTTTTGATAACGGTATACTGTATTAAATTAAAAAAAAACATTTTATAGGTAATTTAAAAATACAGATCCCTGTTATAATGCAAATTTGATAACTGTTCTTAATTCTTTGATATAAGACAAAAATTAAAGTAGGCAACTTCTAATACATGTAAGTTCAAGTTTGGAGGTACCTGGAGCATGATTTACAACCGAGCTGGGCCGCACCGCAGGGTATAACCCACAACATGATCGTTTTATTGCGTTTATTCAAAGCAAAGATATACATCTGCACCCCTCAAGAAGAGAATTGATAGTTCATTTCAAAACTTCAATTTTTTATTCATTTATTTCATTTATTCATCTATTTAAAAATGAATTAAAAAAATTGATAGGTTTAATATAAAGGCACTAAGCCCAATACGTAAATTCTAGGTTTTTTTCACACTAGGTTTGTTTAAATAGTGCGTTATTTTCAAACTTGTTCAATAATTATGACTTTTCTGGATAGATCCCATTGTATCGTTTTAAATTTCATCTGTATAATTACATTTCAGTCCAAGGCGACTTTGATAAGAAATTTAACTAATTAGCTTAGACGGTACAGACATTCCTCAGGAACAAGAAATGGTAAAATGTATCGATTTTTAATATACCTACATCCTGGTGCTCCAGGCTTATTATCCTTGCCCAATTTTACATTAATTGCTTTGCTTTAATTTCTGGCAAAACAATGGTGTAATGTCACATTATCACGATGAATTTGGTCGTTTCCTTATCCCGAAAATGCACGTCATTGCCGTTAAAGACATCATTCACTCGCCCGCATCTCGAAAAAGACAAACAAAATTCGTGTTTGCCCGCTGTTTAGTTTTACAACGAGTGAATTTCAAACTCGATTTAAATAGGAATTTGCGTGGAATGCCACGTTTCGACCTTAATTATGCACAAACATTTGCACAAATTGGATCTCCCATGACGTGTGCGTGTGTCAAAGACTAAATTAAGCGATTTTTCGATAAACTGTTGCAGGAAAAAGCCAAACCGGTGCCGGTGCTTACATCGCTCAACTACGGATTAACAGCAAGGAGGCTTCTAGATCAACCGGAGACTTGTTTCAAGAGGATCCATGCCACTAGTGATTTTAAAAGAAGACGCGGAGTGATGAAAGTGGAAGAGCGAGAACCGCAATAACAATAAATTCTTTTTTGACGTACATTGATTTTTATTCGGGGACGTTCTCTGACAAGATACAGGTGGGCGAGATAAAAGACAACAGATACGAAGAAGAGATATTGAAACGTTTCATCTCACTTCTGTTACGACTTGGACTTCCTGAAAGGGGCTCAATAGCGGCAGATCTTAATTGAAAACTACAGCGACGGTGTTGTATCAGATGTCGGCCTTTCGAAGGCTTTACACACCAATTCGAACTAATTGCGCAAGAAATATTTACTTTCTTTGACGGAAATTTATCATGAAATTAAAAAATTACAAAATCGACAAACTACTTATTAAAAAAAACACACAAAAGAGTAATGGTGCTATTCTGTAAAAAAAATACGTGCTATAGCGCTATAACTCTTTAAGCTATCGACTATAAGTAAAAATCGAATTCTCTAAGGAAATATTTCTCTATACCTAAAATTCTATAAGCTTAAAGTCTCTATAAAGTTATGGCAAGAAATTTGCTGACCGTAAAGATAAGTCTTTACTAGATAAGTCTACTATAAGTAGTCTCTATAACAATATATTGTCATAGTAACAATGTCACTCCTCAATAATTTATTATAAGTACTTCTCTCCGTATTTCGCCAGTGATGCTAATTTTTGTTCTCTTATAATTATTGGTATCGTGTAAAGTTAATAATAAGTACATAGTTCAGTAATGGATCGTAATAATATTGCACTAATTGCATTATATTTATTATTAAATGAAGAAAAAAGATGGTAATGTTGTGGACAATAATGAGCTTCTTACTACAAAATCTTAAAGGTACAAGCAGGTTTTATGAAAATCGGTAATAAATTTTTGTGTAATTTATTAATATGAGCTCAAAGTTGATGCATTTTCTAAATTCTCCTTCGGCTTTAGTTTCAAAATTGTTACTTCTTCAACTCGTTCTTCAAAAACGTTGCAAACAATCCTACTAATTTAATTACGTTTTTTTCTCTTTGATGTTTATGTTGTATTCTCATTAATTTCTTACTAAAAATTAGAGAATGTTTAGCAAATTTACATTACAAATTGTGTCTAAATTTTAGCGGTAGTATTTTTCTGACTTTTCGTCTTCAAATTTCCAAAAACTATTCGCGATACTCAATTTGTTCCCGTTTTTGTGTTTTCATTTCTAAATTTTCTTAGACGATTTTTTTGCTGAATGCCATTTTTTATTAATTAAATTAAAAACTGGAACTGCCAACATCCAAAAATTACCATGAATAAATTTGTTAAGACTGTTTGACATTTCCACTTAATAAAAAACAGACTTTAGGGTAATTACAGCGCTATAACTCGAATGTTTACATAGACGCTTAGAGAATACCAATTTTGATACGATTCTATAAGGACTTTAAAAAATTTATATACAGAGCTCTATTAGCTATGGAATATACCAGCTTATAGACTATAGCAGATTTTTAGAGAATAGCCTAATTAGTCTAATTTTCGTAAATTTGAGATATTTTATAGAACGTGTAAAAATAAGTGACACGTATTCCACCGTATGTATGTTGAAATACAAGGATGTAAAAATTGAGAACCACGTAACAAAAAGAATTTTTATTTAAAGAACAAATCAACATATTGAAACGATTTTTTTTTAAATAATAGATATAAATAGGACGTAATAATGCATGTATTCTAAAAATTTGTTATTAAGAAATAATTTAAAAATATATTGTTTAAACAAAAAAATTAACAATTACGCAGGTTTTTAAAATTCTCAAAAAATTTATGTAAAAACTTTCATATTTTTACTATGTTTTCACATAAGTTTCAAGAGGGACGTTTTAAAAATCGCTAAAGAAAATTTTTTTTTGAGAGCGCTGCATAGTGCATGATGCTCTAAGATCGTCTGAAAGTAGCGTTTCCTTGGAAATTAAATAGAAAAAGTACCAATTACCGTCACTAAAAAACTGTTGTATAGAAAATACATAGTTTCCAATAACTTATTAACATTTATTTTTCAAAAAATATCAATAATAAATAGAAATTCCTCGGTTGAGCAAGAGTACTCTCTATATTTTTTTATTCTATTTTCTGATATTAAAATAAAAATATGTAGATTGTATGTATGTACCTTTTATGAGCTTCGCTCGACTAAAAGATCATTTAAAAAATCGCTGTCTTTCAACTTGTCAACTGGTCGATTAGATTATACAGAGTGTGTGAAAAGTCCCGGACCAACGTGACATGTAAGGTAAGACAACAGGAGCAAGGAAAAAATGTAAAAAAAATCTATCTGTAAAAATTTCGAAGTTATGAGAGATTAATTTTTGCACTTTGACTCTATTTGTTTCTGTTGGAAAAATAATTTTCCAAGTTTTTTTGCTATAGGCTATTAAAAGAGGAAACAAGGAAGCTGTAATTGTAACTCTTTTAATGTTATTTGTGGCTTTTATTGGCAAAATTATTGTACCTTTATTAAATAATTATAAAAAAAATATATACAAGGTCATCAATATCATTAAATAGACATAAAAAATGTCAAATTTCAAATAATAAATGTAAATTTTTTTTTGACAGATTGAATTTTTTTCATGTTCCTGGTATCTTACCTTACATGCCATGTCACGTTGGTCCGGAACATACCCTGTATAGCAAAACGTAATATGTGAAATATTTACTCAACCGAAGAATTTGTTTTTTATTATGATATTTTTTGAAAAATAAATGTTAATAAATTATTGGAAATTATGTGTTTTCTTTAGAACAGTGACGTAATTGGTAATTTTCCTATTTAATTTCCAAAAAAACGCTACTTTCAGGCGATCACGCACTATGCAACGCACTCAAAAAAAAAATTTTTTCAGCCATTTTTAAAACATCCGTCCTAAAACTTATGTGAAAACATAGTAAAAATGTGAGAGTTTTTACATAAATTTTTTGAGAATCTTAAAAATCTGCGTAATTGTTTATTTTTCTGTATAAACAATATATTTTTAAATTATTTGTTAATAACAACTTTTTAGAATACATGTATTATCACGTCCGTAATGTACCTATTTATATCTATTATTAAAAAAAAAATCGTTTCAATATGTTGATTTGTTCTTTATATAAAAATTCTTTTTGCTAATTTTGTACATCCCTGTTTTTTAAACATACATTGAAAAAATAAAAAACGGTGAAATACGTGTCACTTATTTTTACATGTTCTATAAAATATCTCAAGTTTACGAAATAATGAGTTTTACAAATGATCGTTTTGGAATGGAATTACTCAAAAGCTTTTTTATCAACGAATTATTATATTATTAGTATTAAACAAATGATCTTTTTTTAACGATATTATAAGTTAAAGGCAGTAATTTCTACACGTCAAAATCAAATTCGTAGAGTAGATAATTTCTTTTATTGAAATTTTGAATTTTCTGAAAACGGATCATTTCACAAAACACTAACAACAAAACAACAGCATGCTAAGAAAACAACGTTAGATTTTCAGTTGCAAAGAAGCTAACTACTTTCTTTAATTTGAAAGACAATTTGAATACTAATTGATTTTAATCAAGGTTTATACAGGTACAGCCGGAAAATAGTAGGGGCGAATATTTCGAGATTTGGCTGTACAGTTGCTAAATTAAAATTTCGAGCAGTATTTTTCTGTCACTTTAAAAAGTTTTATTAATTAAATAAAATTTATTAATTGAACTAAGTGTAATTAAATCATCGTTTTGATCTGCTGTGAATAAGTCAAAATGACATAAACATGACAAGAGTCAAAAATGAGGTTATTAATGTAAAGGTTGTTTTAGAGTTTACTTATAAAAATGACAATACTGTCCGAAATTTTAATTCCGCAACTGTACATGCTTGGAGCTAAACAAAACACAACTACAGAAAATGGATTGAGTTGGACAAAAATAAAACAATTTTTACTTTTGTAACAACTCGTAGAATCAGTAGAGTATTTAAAGTTGCCTATTCTACTGGTAACAACCACGTTCAACATAAAACACCTAGAACATGACATACATAAGAAAATTGTTTAAGCGTCCATCTTGGGTTAATTAAGTGGGTTTAAATCTAAGATGGCTTCACTTTTCAAGAACATTGGAAAAACAAGTGGACAGGTGAGAAAACCCAAAAAAGGAAGATGAAAAAACACAAAGTAGGCAACACTATTAAATACTCTACTGACCTTGCCTGAGTCTAAAATGACACTGACTGAAGTCGACTGAAAAAGAAAAAAAATCTATAAATAAATGCTCAACAGACTATAAATCTATAAAATATATTCCGTCTGATTCGAAATATACATAATTTAGTGTATCGGTAATTTACTTCATGATTTTAACTATAAGCATGTGGCGCGTAGATTGGCCCCAAATCAATAACTATCGTGTCAAGGACGTTCAGTTGATTCCTTAGCGAAATTTCCCTAAATACTTGTTAAAAAAATTATAATCGATACTCATGCAGCTAGAAGATTGAATAAAGAAAGCATGGTGAGGTGGTAAGCAAGCAGAAAGCAGCGACAATAAAGTGTGAGGAGAAAGCAGCTTTAAGATCGGACTCACCAGAGCTTGAGCGGCCGTTTGGTGCTGGAAACAATGAAGCACACATTTAGTACACACAAACAGGAAATACAGATGAAAGATAGTTAAGCTAATGGAACAGAAAAAATGCTCTAGAAAGTGCGATTCGATACGATCTTGTATTTGTCGTTCTTTCAATGTGCGTATTATTAATGATACAAAGGGTTGATGACAGTGGTTTATGGCATTAATTAATCATTAATACGAAAAGTCGAAAGTCTCGACAAGGTTTTATGATCGGGAAGGAAGGCACGAACAAGGAGTAATAAATGTTAGATGCGAGATTTTTTAAAGTGGATGGAAAAATAAAAATGTTGAGGATTGCAGTGAAGCGCTCGCGTAAATGGTAGAAATGCAACTTAGTCTAATTACAAAAGAACACTTTATAAAATATTGACTTGGTCTAAATATTATTTGATCCCCCGGCGCCTACATCATTTTGACATTTGGTCAAAATTCGTTGCTTCAAGTAAACAAACAAAAAATTAATAGATGCATTGTTTAAAAAATGTTAATAGTTTTGGAATCAAGTAACAGAAGTGTCTAAAAAACACTAAAGTCAATATTAGTTTCCAGTAAAAACTTGATAAGCTATATTTGCGCTGTTGAATTTCATTAATATTAATGTAATTTTGTGTTATTTATATGCTGTTTTAATATTAATAATAGACAATAAATTCAGAATGATATTCAAACCTAGTAACTACTTATATTTTTGAGGTGAAATAGGTCAAAAACATTTGATTTCTACGTAAAAAACAGTATGTGTGTCTGAACACTATTACCAGATTTTGAGCCAAAAGGCTTTATTATTTCATAAAGAAAAACGTTGTGAAAAATGACAGAATATACGATAGAAATGACACAAGATATGTATAGAAATACATATTTACACAAGTAAATTATACTGACTATTATTATGACTATATTCGTATAGTTTTATACTACTAAAATATGTAAATGATTGAAATAGTCTTTATTATTGTCGAATTGGTGTTCGTTAATGTTAGTAACCAAAGTTAATTAACATATAATGAAAATAATATCAAATACAAAATAAATTATTTATAATGAACAGTCTCCTAGAAAATAACTGCAGGAAAAGTCGGTTTTATTAATTTTATCTTTACTAAAAAGTATTTGCTTTCTATACCAACTCCTAATTCAAATTTTGTTATTTTGTTAAGTTACTACAACTTTAAAAACTTGAATTTTCCAGATTTTTATGTTTTGTGACAATCATTCTTTTCAAGACTTTAAAAAAGAAATAAATACAAAAAGGGATCGATTTTTTATCCAGTGGCAGTTCATGATATTAAATATTAAGAGGAAGGGAACACTTAGTTCAATAAAATTTTTGCATAATATACGAGGTGAACAAAAAGTATTAAACCAAGCGGTTTTTTTAATCATTTGCCTTCAGTAATAAAAATTAAAGCGCAATATAAATATAATCCTGTTTTGAGAATGAAATTTCATTTTGCTTTTGAGTTAAGAAACTCTCATGATTTTTTTTTTCAATAAAAATTGAATAAAATGTAGATAATTGTTATCCTTAAATCATATTGACTCTCCCAACGAAAACTATAGTAACTCAAAATTTAAAGTTTTGAGAAAAACTGCATTGAATCTTTGATTGTTAATAAAAATCAGGAGGAACTGTTTAATATCATTGAAAATTACCGCAGGTCTAAGTTTTGGTAATAATATTGTTTATAAAAAAATTTCTTATTGTTTTTGTATTTTGGGCCCTACATAAGCCATCGTATCTCAAAGCTAATTTATGAGTTAGGTACTATCGTTTTCGTTGGGAGAGTCGATATAGTCTTTGTAAAAAAAATATAGTGAGTTGCCATTTGAAGAAATTAAAAATTTTGCAGAACTCAAAAAAAAACAAAATATTCTTGAGAAGCGTCACATTTTTATAGTACAGTCGCGGCCCTTGAGCACTAAGACATTCACTTTTGGTATACTATTTGCTATTTTAAAAATTTATTTTTCATAAATTAGTTTATTAAAAAATAAATAATTTAAGAAAAAAACATTTGGTTCCATACGTTATTCTGTTCACCTAGTATAGTCGACCATAGTAAGTCGATCATCTTATTCGGACTATCCCTAGATTTGTAAATAAATAAATATAACGCACCAAAAAAGCTTTACCCAATATTAATTAATTTTTTATTCAAATTATCTGATTCTCTTCAAATTTTGATCGTTTATTTATCTTAATCTAATTAGTATGTATACAAAAATTATTGCGATGTAGCCATAATGAATGAGTGTTCTTTTTATATGGCACTTAGTGTAAGTATTTATGTTCGATTTCTTTTATTTCAATATATTTCCACATCACCTTATAAGGTACTATTAGAAATGCGTTGATTTATTGAAAGAGGTCTCACTAATAGTCATGGTATATGCATTAAGTAAATAAAAAAAAACAAAATAAAAAAAAGAGATCAAAAAATCACAAAATTCATTTTCTTTTTAAACACCAAAACCTAAATCCTATGGGTGTAGCTCCGAAATCTGACCTGCATATTTGCAAACTTTCGAATTTTGGCAATTGAGACTTTACTTTTTGCAATATAAAAATTTGGATGATGTGAATTTTTGTGTGAACATAATGGAGATAATGCCGGGGGAAATCTTGGTTATAACAATCTTTATACTCTTATACTTTACCTTTTCGTGTCAGTTGAACAATGGTCATTCATAAAGATAACCAAGATTTTGATCTTAACCTATAATAGAGTATTATGGGAACGCGAACACCTGAAAAACTTTCAGCTCCCTACAGCTTTCTTTGTCGTAACTTGTTTATAACCTTCGCTGAAGTCTTAATTATTTTATGGCAATTTTTAACGACAAAGTCTGTTCTAAAATTATCAAAAATATCAATTATCACAACATCTGTGTTTATTAATGTATCAATTAGCTCAATGGTGATGTAGTTTTAACGTTAAAGTGGGATCGCAGATTATTCAAACCGAGTAAATGTTTTTTCAGAAGTTAGCCGATTTTAAATTGTTATTTATTGGCTGGCGTGTTCCTGGTTCTGATCAATTTTTACTCGGTTTTATTTCTAATCTCTTCGATCTTTATCCATCAATTACAGTGGGCTTTTAGGAATTTCATCGATCGGTTTTATTTTTATATTCCAGCTAGCAGTCGAATAAAACTTTTCGAATTGAGAGATATTACTCTAAACGTAATCATATTGCAATTTATATCTCAGGAAGCTCATAACATAGAACGGTGTGTGTAATCTGGCGCTTTCATGTTTACAAATGAAAATCTTCCATGTTGACGTAGCACTTCTTCGATAAATGTCTTCAAGTTGACAAAACGAATAAAATTCATGTCAAGTTTATTCTCACAAAAAAATCCAGATCGGATAGATTATTACTGACCAAAGGGCCGACAATTTTACAAAACTTTGTACAACTAATTCTTATTCCATAAAATGTCACGGAAATTGCAGTAATTCCCAATAAAGCAATGTAATACCACTATTTTCAAATTTTCTTCTACAATATGTCCCCGGATTGAGTTTACAAGAGGGAAAATTTTTTATCTTTTTTTACGCCAAAACTGCAAAGGAAAAACCTTTTTTGCTTTACCTGAAACTAGCAAATCTGTAATTAAAACTATACAGGATGCACCAGAACTCACGCCCCAGAGAAAAATGCCATATAAGGTAAGATACAGGAAAATGGAAAAAATGGGAAAAAAAAATTATCTATAAAAATTTCGAAGTTATGAGGGTTTAAAGTTTGCACTTTGACTCTATTTATTTCTGTTGGGAAAATAATTTTACAAGTTTTTTTGCTATAGGGTATTAGAAGTGCAAACAAGGAAGCTGTGTTCTAAATTGTAACTCTGTGCAATGTTTTATATACCTTTACTAAATAATTGTCTAAGAAACATATACAAGATCATCAGTATCATTAAATAGACATAAAAAATGTCATATGTCAAAATTTTTTGATAGAATTTTTTTTTCATTTTTTTCCTGTATTATTCCAACAGTAGAAAGAAAAGTTTATTTTTCTCTTGATTTTGGTTTTAATTTTTTGACAATAATGTCACTTTGACATGAGTTTTCGCTGGTTAAATAACAAAAGTGTGGGAAAAACATAATTTTGATAAATAGCAACTCAAAGAAACAGCTTTAAGAAAAAAAACCAAAGTCATTTTTAACAAGAACTATCATTATTTAATTAATAAATTAATTGTCAAAGTGACATATAGTTGTTAAATAAATAAAACCGCCAATGTTATAGTCCAAAATCAAGAGAAAAAAATCTTTCTACTGTGTTAGAATAATGAAGTTTTAATTACAGATTTGATAGTTTCAGGTAAAGCAAAAAATGTTTTTCCTTTGCAGTTTTGGCGTAAAATCAAAGATAAAAATAATTTTTCTCTTGTAAAGTCAATCCGAGGACTTACTGTATATTTACAAACTAATTCTTACAATTGGAAATTTATTCCCGCAGTTCCAAATTAATTCCCATAAAGAATTACTTAAAAAAACAATTCAATGTAATTTTGTACTTTAAAACATTCTTTACCACAAACATTAGTTTGTTTCAAAAATTATTCTAATTTTTGAATAAGTTATGACAAAATTAAT